GAATGGTCGTTATTTTCACACTGAGAGCCACTAGAGGGCACTGGTGCAACTTATACTCCGGAGCAATAGTATGTTTTTTTTCCATCTTCATTATGCATTTCTTTCATTTATATTTTTTTAAAGCTATTAAGTTAAAAAGTGTAGTAGAAGACGTTACTGTTAATCCTCTTGGTAGTATGTTTTTTTTTCTTCTTTTATCTTCATTATGCATTTCTTTCATTAATATCTTTTAATGCTATTAAGTTGTAAAAAGTGTAGAAGAAGACGTTACTGTTAATCCTCTTGGTCCAGGATAGTTAAAGCCCGGTCTTCCTGCATCTCCCTTAAATGAGAGAAAGAAAAAAAAAGAAGAAATCCAGGGTTAGATGAAAATAAATTATGTTAGGATAGATGCTAATGCTCTAATATACAGGTTTTTTACCTTTGGTCCAGCTTGTCCAGGTTCACCTCTTGGTCCAGCATCACCAGGGTCACCTCTGGAACCCTGGTAAACAAAAGTGCCCGAATAAGACGGACTGTATTGTTAATGTGATTCCCAAACCTAAGGTAACTGGAACTTACAACTTTTCCAGATTCTCCGGGTCCTCCTGGTGCTCCTCTGGGGCCTGGAAGACCATTGTCGCCCTATTTAGAGGAGAATACAAAGTAACAGGAAATGAATAGAAGAATTGAAGCAGAAAAATGTAATCCAATTTTTTTTTAAAAAAACTTAAACTCTGGCTTTTGATGGCAGCTTTTCGGTGGAGATGACATGTGATTCTGTCATTTTAACATAGTCCAAAACTACTGGGTAAGTAAACACAGAGACAGATCTTATATATTGAACACAAACTACTGAGGGATTTCGATATCTCTTACCTTAGCTCCTTTGTTTCCTGATTCACCTGAAAGTCCTCTCAGGCCCTCTGACCCCATCTCACCCTGTAACACAACAAGATACATCGAATAAACTGGGCATCCAAATGATGGTATCATTAAAAAAAAGCATCTGATCAGACACCGTCGAAGACAAGAGGCATTAAGAGGCGGAGTTTTATTCGTTATTTGTCAGAAAATGATTTTTTTTTTTTTTATCTGCTGTTCAGTTGGATGACCAGCCTCTTACAGTGGTTGATCATTTGGAATTTGGCTATTTTGCCAACACTGACAGCCACTAGAGGGCACTCTAGGCTTGTGTACCAGTATCTGCTACTCCTATACCACTGAAAATGTATTATTAATATGTTCGTTATTTTCACACTGACAGCGTCTGGAGGGCAGTGGTGCGACTTATACTCCGCAGTAACTTACGCTAACTAAAATCCTTCACATTACAACAGCCATCTGCACAAAGGTTACTATCAGCTTCCTAAAAGATTTAACCCCTGCATTAGCTAGCTCATTTTCCAAAAGCTGCATTGCCTCTTTGACTACCTAGCTTAGGTGCGGGTAAAATTTTTGACTCTTCCTAAAATTTGGGGGCCAGGTCAGGAGCAGATAGTCACTTGTACTCGATCCGGGACCAGAAGAACTAATTCCGTTCATCCCATGTCTAACGTGTTGCAATGACAATAAAGAACCTAATCCTTGAGATAGATGGAGCGTTGGTGTGAACTAAGATAAATCGAATGTAAAAAGTCATGCATAAAGGCTAAAATGCTAACATGCTTTAGCGTTCTCTACATCATCCATCCAGCTTTTATCACAATACAAACCAATTATATAATTTGGGCAAGGTTGGCGGGCCGGATTACAAAGCTAAAACGAGCCTCATCCGGGCCCCGGGCCTTATTTTGTCCATGCTAGCCCTTCATTGGTGTCCTGCCTGAATAAATGCTAAGTTTTAATTCCCTTTAGGCTGATAATGTCCAATCAACAAATGCACTAGACACAGCTATAGACTCCGCCTAACAGAATTAGCGATAGATGCAGCTGGCTAGATCAGAACTGTGCATTTGACCATGACCATCCAATCAAAGCACTCAAAATGCCAATGTAACTAGCCAGTCTGCACTATGGATTCTGAAAAGCCTTAGGTTAGATTTCTTCGACCCTGGCAACAAATGGTGGCTGAAATATGATTGGATAAAAAAAACGGATGTTGGGGATGTTTTCAGTATGTTCTGGGGGAGTTATGTGATTGCGGTGTTCAATAAAGGAGTCGTTTTTTTTTTAATAACAAAGAGCATTGGTTGGTTAAGTGGAAAAAGTATGGCCCAAAGCAGGCATGGGCAAACTACGGCCCGGGGGCCGGATGCAGCCCATTTGGCTTTTAAATCCGGCCCTCCAAACTTTTCCAAATTATATCGTTTATTTATATTATCAATAGACTTCTGGGTTTTCCCTGCAATTCTCGCGTTTCCCCAATAGATGGTGTAGAAAAGGCTAATTTAAGCATCTTAGTTCACACAAACGCTCCATCTATCTGCTCCTGGTCCGGCCCTCCCTTGTTCAATTTTAGGCCCACTGTGGCCCGCGACTAAACAACAAGTTTTCCCACGCCTGGCCTCGAGCAAAGTTTATGGTTCCCACCCAATCACATCTTGGATAGGGACTTGACACCATTCCACCACCAAGATCCCAACCACCAGCAACCCCCACCCCCCCCTTTTCTCATGTTTAACAAGCATACCTTCTCTCCAATTGCACCAGGTGGTCCAGAAGAGCCCTTTGGTCCATACTCCCCTCTTCTTCCCTGGAATAAAAAAAATAGCTATCAGAAAAATCACGACCGAAGGAAAAATGAGCTGAAAGGCTAATATGTGGATCTGGAAGCTCACCAGCTCTCCTTTGGTTCCTGCACGTCCAGGATTTCCCTACGAAACACGACAATTGAAAATGGACCACTGGATGTACACAGTTACTTGTTAATGTTTTTGTTTTTTTTTCCAAGAACTGAAACTAGTCTTACTGGGTTTCCTTTTAGTCCAGGGTCACCAGGTGATCCAGAACTTCCCCTCTCCCCCTGCAGAAGATTCGCCATAGGTTATTCCTCTTCCTTGTAATTAACGCGTGACATAAGAAACTCTAAAAAGGCACAGGTTTACCTTTGGTCCAGGCTCTCCTTCGGTTCCAGGGGGACCAGGTCGCCCCGGACGTCCAAAGTCTCCCTGAAGACATAGCATAATTAAGCCACGATTTGAATGTCTTGTCGTTTGTCGTTTTTTGTAAACCCATCACTCACCTTCTCGCCATCAGTTCCGGCAGGGCCACGTTCACCAACATCTCCGGGGTGACCATCGGGACCCTGAAATAAATTGAAAGTTATCATTAACGTGGACTAAGAATAATATTGTGGACGAAGGTTCTGAACAGGTTTCCTACCTTGTCTCCAGGGTCTCCTTTACAGCCGGGAGCACCAATTCGCCCAATTTTACCCTGAAAAAAAACAAAAAACAAAATATGAACTTAATGAAGCACTCGGCCAAATAATATTTAAGCATTAAAAGTTGCAAACCAAAATATGAACTTAATGAAGCACTCGCCCAAATAATATTTAAGCATTAAAAGTTGTTCATCATCATCCCTACCTTTTGTCCATCTGTTCCGTCGCGTCCTGGAATTCCACCAACTCCCTGAAATGTAAGACAAGCAAGAGTTTAGAATTAAGATTTCATCACTTCACATGGTATAAATTCATTGATTTTTTTTTTTTTTTTTCAAAATTGCAAACAAATAACAACTTGCCTTTTTCCCTTGAGCTCCAAATTCTCCCTGTTGGTGGACAAATATTGAAATGTCAGGTACAGTTGAATTCTACCTATTTGCACTTACTGTGGCAGACATCGTAGATCACTGGCTCACCTTATCACCTAATACACCTTTTTCTCCCTGTAAAAATGAGAAAAAATATTTTTAAAAAAAATATATTAAATAAAATTAATGCATTTTAGGCGGAAACATAACCATTATGTTTGATGGCATCTTACTTTGATACCGGGCTGACCGATGGGACCCTCAATACCTGGATCCCCTGGACGACCTCTTTCTCCTTTTGTTCCTGGTTCACCATTGTCTCCTTTAGCACCCTATATTCAAAACATTACATACAGGAGAATTAAATATATAAAAAAAAGCTTAACCAAAGAATCTCTCCAAGGATACCCACATTTTTGGAAAGTTGTCCTGAAGTGGGTAAAACATAAAGATTTTTAACAAAAATGTTAAAGGGTTTACATTACTGTTTTGTACCGCACCCACTTTATTTAACAAGAAAAAAAAAACAAAATTGTACATATATAGGCCGCAATTCTCTATAAGCTGCAGGAGTCGATGTTGTAACGTGGAATATTTACGCCGAATTTTTTTTTTTTTTTTTTTTTTTTGTGGGTATGAACGGGCAAACTGCTCTCAACTTTCGCTAACGTTCTCTCTCTCGTACGCGCGTCCCACGCACAAATACGCACACGGTCATTCACAGACAGACAGACGCTACTAGTACTATAACACACAGTAGCCTACCAGAAAAGTCATTGATCGCTAGCGGTATGAACTTCGCTAGCCCGTAAAAATCTATAAATTAGCCGCATCATTGTTAAAGCCACAGGGTTTAAAGCAGGCGTGGGCAAACGTTTTGACTGGCGGGTCACAACTGTCCTAAAATTGAACAGGCGGGCTGGGTCAGCAGCAGATAGATGGAACGTTGGTCTGAACTAGGATAAATGACATGTAAAAGTCATGCAAAAAGGCTAAAATGCTAAGATGCTTTTATAATTTTCTACTCCTTCTATCGGGGAAACGTGGGTATTGCAGGGAAAAGGCAGAACTATAATGATAATGTAAATAAATTATATCATTTTGAAAAGTTTGGCGGGCCGGATTCAAAAGCTAAAACGGGCCACATCTGGCCCCCGGGCCTTAGTTTGCCCATGTCTGGTTTAAAGCGTGTGGAAAAAAAGTAGCGGCTTATAGTCCAGAAATTACGGTACGTGCATATGTTTAACTTACCTTTTGTCCTCTGTGGCCTTTTGGACCAGGAGGCCCGGGTGTTTCAAGACAGGAAACCTTATAGCACTGCCATAGAAGACATAAAAATGAAGTTATTGAAGATAAAGATCGAAAGAGGGTAACTCAAGACTTTTCAGATTTTCTTCTGTCTTACCTCCACATACGCTATATGTTTCTGTAAAGGTAAAAGAGAACGCGTGTTAAAATCAGACACACTTCTCGGCGACAATGCTTGTTTGTGCGCGTCTCTCTCGTTTTACCATCGTGTTAACGATGCGGTCGATGGTGTCCGTCTGTATGATGGCTTTGCCCTGGCTAAGATCTACAGCCATGAAGTCCCTCCTGAAGACCATGGCAGGAGAATTAGCAATCTCCCTCAGACCGGTCTCTTCTATATTATTAGATGCAGCCACAGCAAATATCTTGATTCCCTCATCTCGAGCTCTCTCTGCTGCCACCTTGATGCCACCACACGGGTTTCCAGTCACGTGACCGTCAGTGATGACCACTGCGAATCGCAGGGCCTTGGGGGAGGTGGGGGAACGCAACATTTCCTGGGTCATGTTGGCCAGGGCACAGTCAATGAAGGTGCCCTTACCCAGGTACCTGATTCCTCTTAAACGCTGGAAACAGTTAAGAAGAGATTGTAATTAATGGCTAAGTCCATTTTTTAGAAAATGCAGAATTAAAATTCCATCGTTAAATGGTTTTCTAACTCACAGTAATGAAGTCATTTTTGGGTCCGATGGCACTGAAGACCTGCTGCCTCATAGAGAAGTGAAGTCCACCAATGTTCCAGTTGATGTTCACGGAACCTCGGATTTCAGCGTCGTCCAAACGCTGTACAAACTGTTCCGTGAATTTCTACACAAAACAAAACGACCAAAAGGACACGTCGCGCGATCAGACAAACGTTAACCACTTTAGAGTTGACTGCATTTGAACAAAGTTACGATGGGAAAAAAATTGGAACCTTGATGCTCTCCACGAGGGATCCAGGAGGGGGTTCCTGAAGAGCGATGGTCTCGGATGTGTCAATGGTGAAGTACACGTCGATGGGACATTCGTTTTTCTCTGTAGCCATCAAACACAAATACATATAAAACTATGACTTCTTAGTGTGTTGTTTTTAAAACACATGTCATGGTCGGTACTCACTACTGCACTCTGACGCTTGGCCATGAGCCAGGGCTCCCAGGAGAAGACAGAGCCCAATTTTCTGTAACACCGACATCTTCTCTCTTTTTTTGCCTGTTTGACAGAGAAAAAAAAGGACTGTCTTTAACAGCGGTCTTTAGATTTTTATTTTATTTTATCACAAATCTAAAGATCAATATCGTTAACAGGTTAGCCAAGAAAATCTCCAGTCCTTCCTCGTAATTCTCTCACAACTTCAACCAGTATCACAGTGCTCTCTATCATTATATTGGTCACTTCCTGTTTCTTGGCTCCAACTACCAAGCGGAATTACAGTCCGAGACTGTGAGTGGTGGGGGGGGGCACTCTTTGACTCTAGCTTAAAGGACTCGGCCACTGGACTCAAGAGCGTAGTAGTAAGCTCAACAACGAGTCGGGTCTGGGCTTCGCGGTGGATTCTGTCAGGAATCTAGTGGCCTCTACTGTAGGACATAACTACTTTAGTAATGCATAATGATGATTCATCAATATCCAACATCTGGTTGTAGCAGAATCTCGTCACCAAATGGCTTTTCAGTGTCGGCAGAGGCATGAAATGGCTTCTGCAGTTACGTAATAGGTTTAATGTCACCACATAAGCTAGATAGATTTGTTCTCACAATAGGAAAAAAGGAGAGAGAGCATCTTTATCTAGTCCTAGCATGGGCAAACTAAGGCCCGGGGGCCGGATGCGGCCCGTTCAGCCTTTTTATCTTGCCCGCCAAACTTTTCCAAATAATAAATATACTTCTTCCTTTTGCCTGCAATACCCAGAGTTCCCCAATAGATGGCGTAGACATCTTCAGCATTTACCCATTATGCATGACTTTTGGTCACGATTTGGTCACTTTAAATTAATTGCTTGTTATGCTTAATAAATCAATTTTCCGGATAAACAGCGGACGTAAACATAAAATGAATTAAAGTATCTGAGTGGTACCCACAACTAGGGTTGCTTGATAATATCTGTCGACCAATATCTTCGGCCTGATAATAGCATATTTTGTAATATCAGTAAGAATAGTTATCGTTTTTTTTTTCCCCTCCAATAATGAAAACCCGATAATGCAATGCCTGGGTTTCGCCAATGACAAAAATAGTGCAATGCCCCCCCTCGACAGACGAGTCAGATATCTCAGTGCTCTGAAGATCTTGGACACAGAACATTATGAATGATAAACAAGCTTCTAAGTCACTAGATGGCAGCATTGCAGCTCATTTTATTAATCAATATTGATAATCAGGGGACTGTATGCAGCAACTTATACAGTTTGTAGTTTGTACAGATAAATAAATATATATTATCAGGAGCTCAATAGTATTTTAATTCTGCCCCCTGGGGGCCAGAAAATTGATTGATAAACATTGTTTTAACCAATCACCTTAGTCGATATCTGCATCGGTTGATATCAGAATCAAAAATTCAAAAAGTCTTTGGACTATAACGGCATATCGGTATATCGGCAAAAAGACATCCCTACCCACAACCTTATCTTGTCTTATCTTGAAAAAAAAAAAAATCAAATGTCAGACCTAAATTGTTTAGTTATATTGAGACACTTTAACATTAAAGTCGTGAAATGTACCATACCATTTTTTTAAAATTATTATATTATATGTATTTACAAGTCTACAGAGGGAAAAGTCCCTGAAATAAAACCCTGACAAGTAGTGGCACTGCTGACTTAACGAGATCTGCCGCCCTCTAGAGGACTTCTCGTCTCTTACAGAACCAACGACAGTCAGTCTATCATAGGGTCATATATAAACATCAATTAAAACATAGAGTTTTTACAATCTAATACATTTAACTTTCCTTTTCCTGCATCACTGTGGGATTTTTTTAATGAAATTAATGAAGGTCATTTTTAATTCCAAAAGTAATTTCTCAAATTTTGTGACTTTTTTTTGAAATGCTTGTGTGTCTCCTGTTTATCTTAATGGTATTGTTTAGCTGAAATTTGATATTTCTTTCAGTCATATCTGTTCTTTGAAAGTTTGTTACATTTTCAGATTAATAGCTGCTCTCATTGGCAACTCAAGGCCTAGCACAAAGGTTCCCAAAGTGGGGGGCGCAGTGTCATTGCGGAGAGGTGTGTGGGGGTGAATGAATGAAACGTAACACGGTATATTGTTCAATGCTGTAAATGTTTAACCAGAGGAAAATAACTGATTGGTTGAAAGCAGTGTAAAATTAATATCTGATAATAATATTGCAAAGGAGCCTGTGATTTTTAAAAAAAATGTCTTTAACTACTGCCAACTGACCACCATTTGCAATGCTGGCATAAAAAGGGCTTAAAATTAGCGTAAATCCGCATTAAGCCCGTATTTGCGTATTAAGTGTCTGTAGGGTTAATGCAGAGTACATGTTTTGTTGTGTGGACATATATAATGAAATATAAAAAGAGCTTTTTTTTTTTATTTATTCGTGTTTAATTTTGACAATTTGACGAACACTTTTGAATGGTTTTCTAAGTTATCCTTCTTTTTCCACCTTAATAGTTCGCATTCACATTTGCGATTTACAGCACAATTAACATGTGCCATGGTTCCCTCTAGCGGGCAGACTTCTGTGTGACGCGGTGCAGTCGTACAGATGTTCAACTCTGGTAGAATTATTATTTTTTATAAACCACTGCACATTTCACAAACTTGTACAGACTAAAATAACAAAAGGTGTAGTTTGTGCAACACTACGTTTAGAGCTCTAAAACTATTTTATACAATGAGGGATAACTTTGTGAATTTTAATGAAATTACGTTTTTCTGTCTGTTTTTGCAGTACCAGAAACATTAACTTTAGTTTATTAGCGTGACATTTAACGTAAAAAAAAGGGGGGAAACGACAAAGAAACGGCAGACATACGTAACGAAGAACAAGGAGAAACGAAAAGACTTAGACGTAGAGTAGAATGTGGCACCTTGTAAAAGTTGTACGTACCAGAACTTTCCAACGCTCGCTGGTTATCTCATCTCATGAAGAAGAAAGAAGGATGGGGGAAAAAATGGCGAAGGATGCGAAAAAAGAGGGGCAATAAAAGGCTTTTGATGCACTGCGTTCCCTTCACTCAGAAGAGCCGTCCGCTTGCTCTCCTGTCGGGTCCAGCCCCAGCAACAGCCTTTAATCCCCTCCTTCTCTTTTTCTAAACTTTTCCGTCTTCTGAACGCGCACGACGCACCCCCGGTGCCCGCTGCCGGCCGCTTGGAGGCGCTGTAGCTCCGCGGAAACGCGCGCGCGTGTATGGCGCGCGTCACAAGGTTGCACGTGCACGCGTGTTGTAGGAGTAACGCGCCCAAAAGCTCGGCTGCAGCGTTTGATCCTCTCTCCCTGTCGCAGACGCTTTAAAGTCTTTTTCACAGCAGATGTGAAAGTCTGTTTTACATCAGGGGGAAAAAGAGAGAACGGGATGTTTCCCCAAGGAAGAGAGGCATGGCACAACCAAAAGAAGAATATAAAAAGGCCACAATAGCCCTCACTCTTTCATAACTAATAATATCTCAGAAAAAAAAAAACTATCTAAATGTCTAACACGAATGATAAAGTTCTTCCTACAAACGTACTGTTTGCACTATAACAGCTTACATGTATTGTACTCCGACTGTACTACTATATTTTATACAGCGTTCTCTCTTCAGCTGTCCTCCCTCTCTTCTTCCCCCCCCTCTAAAGTCTCCCTACATGCTACATTGAGATCTGCTGTTCAACTGAAATTGCTGTTCAACAATGGTAACATAAAAACCTGTTCTCCTTTACTTTTGCCTTGTCCACATTGACACAAATATGTTTCGCGAATTTGGGAAATACAAATGAAATGACTTGACCTGCCTTGACTTTACCAAGACCATAAATGGTAACCAAATAGCCAGCCTGAGGCTGTGCATGATGACCAGGAGCCTGAAGTACAAAGAAGAGAATGTGACTGTTAGCTGCACGTTAGCCTCGTGGTATGTGCCAGTGAAATAGACAGAGGCAGAAGAAACCCCAGGTCTTACCCCTTTTTTCACGACTTGTCGTCGGAAACAAGGACTCCATGGCAACACCGGAGACATGATGGCTCACTTTGCTCCGCCGTCGGCTGTTCAATGGCCAGTGTATGGAGATCCCGTTTGTCCACTTAGCGATGGACCTCATCGGGGCCGTTCCACCGCAGTGTACAGGGAACCGGTTTGTCCTGGTGGTGATTGGTTACGGCCCGAGATATCCGGAAGCATTGCCATTGCGCAATATCTCCGCAAAGAATGTAATGGCCCTCTACCAGATCATCTCGCAGGTCAGAATCCTGAATGAGAATGAAATGAATGTCACGGAACCTGAAAGGTGCGTAAAAGTCTGTTCAGACAAGTGTCTACCATCCTCAGACTGATGGTTCGGTAGATCATCTGTAAGTTCATTCAAGAGGACAGTCCAAGTTGGGATAAGACTCTTATCTTAGACAGTGGTGGGCAGTGGTGGCTTAGTGGTTAACCTGGGTCCGGAAGGCTTCAGGTTCGAGTCCACCAGCTGCCAAGTTACCACTGAGGTGCTCTGAGCATGGTACCGTCACCGCACACTGCTCCCCCCGGGTTGCTTAAAGCTGCCCACTGTTCACTTTGGTGATGGGTTAAAAGCAGAGGTGTGCGGTGTCATAACGACAAGTAGTTCACTTTCCTTCCTTCTTTCCTTCCTTCCTTCCTTCCTTCCTTCCTAGACTCCCTGTTGTAAGCAATGCGAGAGGTACCGCAGCCCTCCACGGTATATCTCCCTTGCAACTTACGTTTGGAGGAAAGCTGTGGGGGCCTTCCAGACAGGGGAGAAGGCTTTGGGGTTGCTCCCATTTTCAACATCGAAATTACTCGCCAAGTGGCAACAACCCTTTGTACTTACATGGCGGGACACCCATGGATGGGGGACACACTCAAATCTACCAAAATTTACTGAAAGCGTGGATAGCGCGTAAATCCCCTGTGACCTTAGTGAGGGAGGAAGGTGGGACTAGTGTGACGAGAGGACCAAAACATTAGTGAAGGGTAAATCATAGTTGACGACCCTCTGGCTGGCCTTACTAGCAGCGGAGGTGGAAATGCAACACAGGAACACCACCTGTTATTGCACGAGAGTCAGGTAAATAAGGCAAGTAGACACGAATACTTTAAGGCTAGAAGGAAGTCTAAAACAGCAGTAAGGTGAGGGCAAGAGCTTATGATTCATGATGAGTCAGTCAGGAAAACTTTCAGGCCATGTTTACATGGATGTGATACGCCCGCGGATCCTGAAGCAACAGCACCGATTTGGCCTTTAATTTAGACGTGGGTCCCTAAGTGGAAAAGTTTGGGAACTCCATCCATGCGCATCCGTGTGAACTAATGTCATGCAGTCTGTAACATTTCAAGAAAATTTGTGGATGTTGTAAATGCAAGTGGTTGGTATCATAGCAGAAGAGGTGATGATGGTAGATGATCTGCAGTCGAAAACCACTGAAGTAAACCCTGAAAGATAAGGAAGATGTCAGCTTTGCAACTTCCTTCTTTTGGAACTCAAATTTGATATTGTCCATTTCTGGGGTCAACACATGGATATTTGAATTTTGCAGCCATTTAGCCTCTAGTGATGGAAAGACTCTGACACCAGGTCCATCCATCCATCCATCATCAACCGCTTATCCTGGGCCGGGTCGCGGGGGCAACAGTCTGAGCAGGGACACCCAGACTTCCCTCTCCCTCGACACTTCCTCCAGCTCATCTGGAGGGACCCCAAGGCGTTCCCAGGCCAGCCGAGCGACGTAGTCGCTCCAGCGTGTCCTAGGTCTTCCCCTAGGTCTCTTCCCAGAGGGACGGCACCCGAGCACCTCCCGAGGGAGGCGTCCGGGGGGCATGCGATGTAAATGCCCAAGCCACCTCAGCTGACTCCTCTCGATGTGGAGGAGCAGCGGCTCTACTTCGAGCTCCTCTCGTGTGACAGAGCTCCTCACCCTATCTCTAAGGGAGCGCTCTGCCACCCTGCTCAAGCTCAGCCGCTTGTATCCGGGGTCTCGTTCTTTCGGTCATGACCCAGAGCTCATGACCATAGGGGAGGGTAGGAACGTAGATTGACCGGTAAATTGAGCGCTTCGCCTTTCGGCTCAGCTCCTTCTTCACCACAACGGACCGATACAGCGATCCGCCTGTCAATCTCACGCTAGGTTGCCAAGTTTATTTTCTCCTTGGATGCATCCTTAAAGTATTCCTTTAACTCTCCAACTACTCTCTCGGCTGAGAGCATCAGAGAGGTTCTTTCACCCCCTGAGGCAGCAGCAGTTTTACCAGAATTTCTTTGGAAATGGCCAACCCCAAACCTCTCCTTAGTTAGTTCAGGTCAACCAAAAGCATTTGGAATATTGTTTAGTGGGCTGTAAGGATATGTGTTGGTTAGCTCCGTGTGGGGGCTGTTTTTCCTAAACTCAAACCAGGGCTCAATGGTTAGAGGTAAAATGAAAGAGTGAAACATTTCTGTCAGTTTCCGCCACCTCCAAATTGATCGACTTTACTTGATGTATACCATCAGGAACATATGGAATCATTTAAAGGAGGTGATGTTTTACAATTGATGTAAACACTGTCAGTCTGCCTGCCTTTGTCATGTATGAATTTAGATGCTGTCATTTAGATGTCGGACACAGAGTACAATCACTCTTTAGGATCATTTACTGTGCCGGTAAACATCCGCATTGATATTTATGCCAGAGTAGATGATGCTCTGCTGCTACTTCTTTGGTTCAGCTGTGACTATTTTGTCAAGCTGCATAACTTGCGATTGCATACAAGTAACGACAGTGCCACTAATGTATTATCCAGCACAGGACACAGGAGAGGCAAAGTCAGGAAGAAGATCTTCTTTTAAGACTTCAGGCAATCCGTGCACGGGTGATGCCAAATTTTTTTACATCGGTAAGAAAGGAAAGAAAGTTCATTATTGTCACGGATGTGAGGTCTGTCCGAAAATATTATAATTCTTCAGTTCATAACTGATTATTTAACACTACACATTGATTAGTGTCACCTTTGACCCCCCCGTTGGAGATAGGTCGATGTCGCCAAGAAAACCAAGTATGAGAGAAAGATGAGAAAAATGGAGGAGGAGGTTAGAGAGTTATTACAGTGAAGGTCTCTTCTGTCTCTGTCCCGGGAAGGCTTTTTCCTTAAAAAGGGAGGAGGGGGGGTGAGGGGGGGAAGGGGCTTGTGGGTCTGTGTTTGTGTGTGTGTGTGTGTGTGTTTGTGTGTGTAAGATGGAGAGATGTGGAGGTGGAGAGAAGCAAGGGCTCTGGTCTCTGACTCATTAAACAGGAATGGCCTTCCTCCCCAACCGAAGCCTCTGTCTATCCTCCTCTCTTCTTTTTCCTCCGACGAACTTCATCTCAGTTTTTTTTTTTCCATTTTTTCCCCCTGCTTTTGTTCCCGCGAACTGACGGACCGCCTTTCTCTGGAGTTCTTTATTTACAGTTAGTATTTCAACATCAAAAGCACGAAGGGAAACCTAACATATGTGTTTTCACAAATCATTCTCGACGTGTGTCGTTGCGCGCGTGCGCACAAGCAAATGCTGCGCTGCAAAATCTTAAAACTCCCGATTCGACATTACAGAACAAATAATGTTCTGTAGATATGGATGTGGATATGTAAAACGTGAACATGAATTTGTTCTCTTTTTTTTTTTTTTTAAGGTCCTTTCTTTCCATTCCCTTTTTTGCCAGATGTGCTGTGTTTAAACAGGGCAGCTGGGAGTTGTTACTTATCTGTGCGCACACACACACACACATGTTCAACCCCATATGTGAAATCCATGATACCAGTGAATTTTGGAGGAAATGTTGTCAAGAAAACAAATTTCAATATGGTTAGTCAGTGGCCAACAGCCTCTCATTCAAAAGAACTTTTTTTTTTTTTTGCGAGCTCAGCCAAAGACAATCCTCCAACGCAGCTCAATGTGCTATTTCCCATGACAAACTGATTAGGAGTAACCGTCTGGGCCAGCAAGGGTACATTAACCCAGCAGTCACAAAACCTTTTTTTTTTTTCTTATCTTTCTCCAGTTCTACAACATCTACGTAGACAGGCTGCTGAAACATTTTCAGGGAGAAATAAAGACTAAAGAAGGTGGACCTAGTGTCAAGTAAACCTTACGTGACATTTAACATTTTCTGTGTGTGGCACTATTATATATAGAGCTGTCAATTAATTGATCGGCTTCCTTAATATGACCAAAAAAATAAACCTTTTTGCTTTGTATCGTTTGAAACATCACCGGATGACAAAATTGCTTACCAACCAAAAAAGCATTCATATTTGCTAAATTAAAAAAAGAAGATGCCCGCATACTGGAGGAGTGAAAAAAAAAGAATCAGATTGATATCATTATGTCACGCAATGCCCGCGCATTGCAGGAAGCAGGCAGAGCCCAAATGCAGTACTGAGAGAGACTCTTTCTGGCGCAGGTAGTTTTATAAACAAAGTCCAAATTAACGAAACACGAAGAACTACCAGGCATGGAATTCTCTTTGTAACACGGAACACGAGGAAACACGGAACAGGAAACTCACGAACTGCTACAGAATACGAACAGCCTGACAGAACGAACTGAACAATGATCCAACCAGGCCAGAGTGAGGGAGAGGGGTATATAATCACAGGGAGCACCAGGTGACACAAGTGAAGCTAATTACCGACAGGTGAGTGTGATAATCCCACAGATTACCCCACAAAGACATGAGGGAAAGGAAACAGACGGACATGACACATTCTCCATTTTGAGTATTTTGTTATGCCATTTGGATTAACAAATGCCCCAGCTGTCTTCCAGGCGTTGGTGTATGACGTGCTACGGGACATGTTAAAACCGTTTTGTTTTTGTCTATGTAGATGACATCCCAATGGTACTACAGCGCCTGCTAGATAACAAGCTGTTCCTTAAGGCAGAAAAGTGTGAGTTTCACGTGGAATGAGTCACCTATTTGTGTTTTATTGTAAAGAAGGGTCGACTGAAGGCTGATCCCCAAAAAAAGTCGCAGGCAGTAGCCGATTGGCCCATTCGAGCTACTCGGAAGCAGCTCGAACAGTTTTTGGGTTTTGCAAATTTCTACCGACGATTCGTAAAAGACTACCGTTGCGCCTTTGACTAATGTAATGTCGGTGAAGGTCTCCTATTGGTGGACACCAAAGGCAGGGAGGGCCTTCCTAACATTAATGCAATGGGGGGGGGGTCAGAAGTTGCATCCTTGTGCTTTTTTTCTCCAGATTGCTGAGCCAAGTGCAATGTAACTATGACGCGGGATATTGGGAGTTACTGGCAGTAGTATTGGCGAGACGCTCGTATCTTGAGGTTCCATTGTATCTATCTACTGTAGGTCTTCTATTTTTACTTTACTCACTCACTCAACCTGGGCCTCCTAAGTGGACTACAACACTGATACACTCAGGAATTGAAGAAAGACACATACTAAGAGTATTTGGTTTTTTTCTTGCCGTCACTGATGCATAGACAAATGACAACAACTGTTTGCAGTCAAAGTAATGCTTTTTAGCCCCGCTCTGTGAAATCGGGTCATTTTCATTGGTTAGTTAGGTAGTCACCTTTAATGTACACTGATCATTAATAATAAAATAAATAGAGACCAATATAGCAAGACCTCAAACTTAGCATTTCCCTGCTTATTTGTGAGTAACTGTGGACAACAATGAGCAGAGACAGTTTGGTGTAGCAACCTTTTATTTTGAAGGAGCCGTAACATTACCTCTGAGCTTTTTGTTTTTTTCCTCAGGTAAAAAAATATCTTCTGAACATTATGGGTAGAGGCTAATGAACCTGGGACCAATAGCACCATAGATGTGACAACAAAACAGCAGTTCAGAGCTTTTGAAAAACACCGACAGTCAAAGTTGTGAAGGTGCAGGCGAGGGGTTTGGTGAATGCGTGTTTGTCTTCGTATGGGTTAGCGTGTGTGTGTGTGTGTGTGTCCCAGGAGGTTAATTATTGTGCCCTCACACCCATGACAGGTGTTTAGAATTCGCCGTTGTGTTTAGTGTGTGTGTGTTTAGCGGAGGTCTTTATGCTGCACAAGTTTCTGTCTTGACGGGATATAAACCAACAAACATTAGCGGAGCTGTTTTAGCGAACAGCGTTCAGAGACACCACAAAGTCACAGATGCATACGTTAAAACACACACATACCAGTACAGAGGCACACGTATTGAATCCGGCTGTCCTGTCATAACCTTGGCCAGGTTTTTCATTACATTAGAGGCACACGTATTGAATCCGGCCGTCCTGTCATAACCTTGGCCAGGTTTTTATTGGATAGTGACACTTCTTGTTGCTTGGGTTTCGGATATCAGGTGTATCAAGGTTCACTAAAATCCTGAGCATGTTCTGAAACAGAGGGCTAGAACATGTAAACAGTAGTTGGGTAGAAATCAGTATCGCTAGATCCATTTCAAATTGCTCTCTGAAACCAAATCATTCTCTCAGAAATTGGACATTTTAACCCTGGAATCCCCCCCCCCCTGTCAATAGTTTCCAGTTGCTTGCTATATTTTTTATGCTATCACCTAGTACAAAAAAATACAAACAAAAAAAAATGTAGATTTGGTGCACAGCCTGGATGGTCTTAATTTGAGGCTCAAGGTCAAAAAGTCCCAGGGACATTTACCAAAGCATCACTATTTGTCTGCTACACAATCATTTGTCCTTTTGTGTGAACTTTTGCCCAGTATATGGTAACGAGTGAAACAGAATAATTATAATGGGACAAAAAAAAAAAATCTATTATCTTGGTTCTGTATTTTCTTGTGTGGCCCACGATTCTAACGCAAGGACACCCTGCGGGAGACGGTCTGGGCGAAGACCCCGTGCAGCAGGGAGGGGTAATCTGAAACGCGGATCAGGTGGCGCTGGGCGTAGCTGATGTCGTCCGGCCGTCCCCTGCTCACCAGTGTGCGCAGGTTGGCTTCGTTGACCTGGCTGCCGACTGCGATGACGTACAGCTGCACTCCGGCGTCTGCCACCTCGCGGACACGCTTCTCCAGCACAGGCCCGGTGACGCCTTGTGACCTTCCGTCAGAAAAGAGCACCAACTTCCTCACACCAGCGGACGAGTCTCCTCGGCCCTGTAAATTTCTTATGGCGAACTCCATGGCTTCCAACACATTAGTGCCATCATTTTGGAAAGCGGCTTCCTCCACCTTACTAGAAAGCAGCGTGTAGTTGGTCGTGAGACCCTGCTCCATTTTCGCACTTCTACTGTACTGGGCCACGCCCACTTTGACATTAGCACCGGGACTCCTCTTAGCGGTAAAGAAACGATCAGCTAAGCGACGGACAAAGGTCTTGCTTGTCTCGAAGTTCTTCTGGCCCACGCTTGCTGAACTATCCATCATCACCAAGATATCGGCACCTTCATTGAAAGTGACTGTAACGTAAAAAAAACATAAGCATGTTAAAAAGGAGCTGTTGCTGTTTCATGTTTATGGCACATTAAAAGCAACAATATATTTAAATATATATTTTTTCGGTCACGGTAAAAGTCTGTTGTGCATTTGGAATCTCTTAACCCTTGGATGATACTTAAGGGTCATCCAAGGGTGTAAAGCTACTTCTTAGCTGGTAATTGTGGTAGCTATTGTTGCTAACAGAGGTTAAGGGAGAAAAGAAATGGCTTCCAAATGTTATTAAATCAAAAGTTTGAATATATTATTCAATATTGAGCAATGGTGGTTCTATAGTGCTGTGGTTACCACATCTGCCTTACACACAGAAGGTCCTGGGTTTGAGCCTTGGTGGAAGCATCCACTTAATCTTCCTCGTGTTAGTCGCGTTGAACAAAAGCGTCTGCTAAGCTATGTATAAAAGCGGTAATGTTAGCATTAACATCGGTTACTGTACGTAGCATACACAGCATCTTCTTTTTTCACGATAGAGTAAGGAATGAACTTGGTGTTTACCCCGAAGGTACTGTTACATTTTTTTTTTACACAAAATTTTTGGCGAAAATTAAATATACTTACTCGGGCATTTGTAATCTGGGCATCTCTTATCTGGAAAAGGAAATGACATGTGTGAGTCCCATACATGATTTAGCTGACAGGATACATTAGAACAGCGGCCCCAAGAGGTCCGGTAGGTGAATCGGTAATAGGCCACACCGAAAGAATGCATAACTTACCTTATTTTCATGTTGTTTATTATCTTCAAAATGTTTTATTTTTCGAGAAATTGCCCGATTCTTTCCATTGCGTCTGTCTATGACTCACACTCGCTAGATGTCGAGAGGCTTACCTACATGTGCTACCTTCTTAAAGGGTCTGCTCCGGCCGGTAACACATAATACATTACAGCTAAATTGTTCTCCGAAAAAACAATTCAGACATTTAACCGCTCCGTGGTGCAAAAAAAAAAAAAGTTGCGGATTGCTGCGTTAGCATGGTGTACATGGGTCGTTTACCTTGACATATTCTGGATGTGAGGTTCTGCAGAAAAGTGTCATCCAGCAGCTCAGCAAAGTTATCCAGGACGAAAGAAAAGCCCGGTTTGGGGTCACTCTTACACACCACATCTCCAAGCTGCTCTTGGTTGGGCACGCGACCAGAGTAATCTTTCACTCCCAAACCACCAACCTTGAGGTTGTAGAACAGACATCGGGTTACTCGAAGTTCTCAAGACAGATCTACTTTTCACGGTGTCAACAGTGAGGTACACACCCTTATGTTTTTACCGCAGAGCACGTTAAGGGGAACCTTGTCCCTTATGATATCGGAGCGCCCGTCAGTGAGGACCAGAACAACCCTGTTCTCTTGCCTCATCAGTTTGATTGTGTTGTTTAGAGCAAAATCGAGAGCCTCGCCAGTGTAGGTGGCCTCGGCCAACCAGCGCAAGTCTCTCACTGCCCTGCAACACAAAAAACAGATACGTGACGATTAGAAAGGAAACAAATGCTCTTCTTCCCTATACGTATTTTTCCGACAGGGATGTCCGATATTACCGGTATACCGATATTAGCATAATGATGTAGTATGTAGTAACGCAATGATGTGTTAGTGTACTGAGAGGTTCACCACAGTTTGGGGGGTGGGGGAAACGGCTGCATAAATTGGTATCAGTTGATATTGGAATCATGACGCTTTGGCCCAGAGGCATTGTCATTGGTGTGGAACCCCAGGGTTCACCTCCTGGGCAAGTTCGAATCCCGGTTAGGGCGGTTGGTACCTTCCAGTGGACTCATCACCCGCAGGAAGGTTTAGGTCGGGTTTGGTATGGTGCAATGTGATTTGGGTGGCGACTGGTGACCCGGTAATGGATAAGCGGATGAAAATGGATGGATGGATGGATGGATGGATGGATGGATGGATGGATGGATGGATGGATGGATGGATGGATGGATGATATTGGAATTGTAAATTTAGTGTTTGGACTAAAAGTTTGCAGTCATTTACTGCAAAAGTGGTCACTTTTTAGACATAAGTGTGTTCGGCAAAAGTGCATTTCCAGCTACTCCAGTCAAACTCCGCCCCTCCCGCCACACCCCGAAATAGAAAATGTTTTAAGAAAATGGAAAAGTTTCCTTTTTCATAGTCTGAGAGCTTAGTCTGCGACAGTTGCTCTAATGGAGCTAAAGAGTTGTCTTCAGCTTTTGCACAAACTCAGCCTCGGTGGGGATTTTGAATCATTATGACATCATTATGTCAAGAAACAGAACAGGGCAGAAGCACTGGACTTGCATATTGACTCACTGTTTAAACTCAGTAAGGCTGACGGCATTGGTGCCCAGTTGGACCACTTCTTGCGCCTTGGCTCCACTGTACTGAACGACACTCACCCTGGACTCGTTTCCTGCAAACTGGGAAAAAAAAAAAAAAACATCGGATGGTGACTACTTGTTATAGCCCATGCACTGTCAATATTTACGGGCTACTCCTATCTTGATGTTTCCTGGAAGACGTCATCGAAATGACCCTGAAGCAAGTTCTATGATCAGAGACTTTTCTTGGGACGTCCGATAATATCAGCCCGATATTAGCATATATAATTATGTTATATATTTAAGAATGTTGTTGGTCGGTTTTTCCCTGTGATGATTAAAACCTAACATAATGCCTGGGTTTGGCCAAATATGCTGGAATCGCTTGTCAGGGTCTTGAGACATTTGTCTCAGTTTTGGGGGCAAAGCTGCATGTATCGGTGTTTGCACAACATCGTCATATCCGATATTAGTTAATATATGTATATGTACATATATGTATAAGTTAATATCAGAGATCCCCCTTTCAAAAGTCATAAACCTTCACGACCCAAGTCAATAGACGTGATTCATAAACTTCTGGGAAATGCGAGACGACCCCAAAAGAATCTCTTGCGACCCATCTGAGGGTCGCGACCCAGTCATTGGAACACAATTAGAATATACATATAGAGAAATGTATGCTGAATAGGAGCAGAGCAAAGAAAAAAAACAGCAAAACCTCCAAGTGCCACATGACACATCTTTGAAGATACTGCTAGAATAGAAGAAATAAAACAAAGAACCTTACCTTGACTTGCTGATCTTTTATCAATCTGTCAATCACAGTGATGATAAAGTCTTTGGCGAGAGCGAAGTTTGAGGCACCAATACTTTCTGAACTGTCGACGATGAAAGCCAGGTCCAAAGGCTCACACTTGCACTCTGAAAAGACGGTCGAAAAAACAAAAAAAAAAGAGTCAAACGGATTATGATATCAGCAGTTCAACAGTTCTGATAACTGGGAAAACTTACCGCAACACGCTGTGATGGTTGATCAGAGAAAACATGTGGGGGAAAAAAAAATTCAAGTTAATAAATCGTGAAAAAATAATAAAATAAAAAATGAATCTGCATCGTCTTGACATTCTCTCAGATTCAAGTCCACATTGGGTTTATGAGGCAGGAGGTCGATGCCTAAGTTAATGAAACACAAATTCTTTAAGTGTGTATATCACTTACAGCAGAGCTTCATGATGATATCCAGAATTTCACATTCCTGCAGACAGAGGTGGAGTCAATTTTAGAGTCTAGCAAAACATGGATTAAGTCGCCTTACGTAACTCTTAAACGAACTCGGGGGGGACTGTTTTGAGCGGCTTTAAAAGGAAGAGGGGGACACCAAATGAGT